GGGGCTTGGGAACAGTCTGGTTACTGCTCAGGACTTCAGTGACAAGCTCCAGTTAGCCCTGGAGTCTACAACCACCTCTTTAGCCTCCCTACAGCAACAAGTAACATCAATAGCCCAGGTAGTCCTACAGAACCGGCATACCTTAGATCTCTTGACAGCAGAAAAAGGAGGGACCTGCACATTCCTTCAGGAAGAATGCTGCTACTACATCAACGAGTCTGGAGTAGTGGAACAAAACGTGCAGACCCTGACTAAGCTGAGTGAAGAACTACGTGCAAGACTCTCCCAGAACAACTCTCTTTTCGGCTGGTTCCAAAGCCCCTTAGCTATCTGGGTCCTACTCATGATAGGACCCCTAATTCTCATCTGTGTCTTTTTCCTCCTAGCCCCCTGCCTCCTTAAGTTCATCTGCTCCCGCATTGTGGAGATGTCATGGGTGACTGTAAATCAGCTTCTGCTCCATCCCTACACTCGGCTACCCTCGGACCTGCTTCTGCCTGACCCCAGCCTTTAACCCCCGCCCCTTCGTCCCTGGTCAGTTGGAAGTAGTCATAACAAACCTGCGCCCCCTATCACCAAAAGGCCGGGATGTTAGGTCGAAAGGGGGTCCAGGAGCTGATGCAAGCCTCCACCAGGCAGATGTTAACATAAATACTGAGCCCTTCCTAGAATCCATAACAGGCCAGTGCACCAGGTAAATGGTGACGCAGATACTGTCCCCGCCCTGGAATTCCTAACAGGTCAGCTACCAGACAGATGATGACACCTGAAAATCGTGTCAACCCCGGCGGCGGGAACTCCCACAGCTCATGCTCCCCCACCCTCACTGAACAGCTGTACAAAAAACGCGCTCCCCTCCCTGTTGGTGTGGATCCACATGCCCTGTCTTTGGGGTTCGTGGGTCACCCAGGGACTCAGAATAAAACCTCTCCTTCCTTCCTTTTCTGATCAACTCTCTTTATTTCCTATGCCGCCTCCTGAGCCACCTAACCTAACAACTACCTGGAGCACATGAATTTTAATTATTGAAAAAATACTTATTTACTATTTTTATGTCTCCAAAATCATCTTTAAAAGAGCCCTAAAAATAGAGGCAGAGATTAAAATGATGTATATATGAGGTAAGTAATGCCAAGGGTTGTCAGCAACCACCAAAAGGAAAGAAAGTAGCCTCCTGTAGAATTTTCAGAGGGTACATGGTGCTGTTTACTAGTACATTGTGATTGCAGACTGCAGAATGGTGAGAGAATACATTTCTATGGTTAAAAGCCATCTGGCTTGTAGTAATTTCTTATGGTAGTCCTAGGAAACTAATATAAATGGTATGGATATACCACCTTTTGTTTATCCATTCATCAGTTGATGGACTTTTGGGTTTTTTCTACTTTTTGGCTAATAGAAATAATGCTGCTGTGAACATTGTGTACATCTATGATACATTTTGAGTTAATTTTTGAAAGGAATGGAAGGTTAGATAGATTCTTTTTTTAACCTATGAATATGGAGTTGGTCTAGCATCATTTGTTGAAGATTATCCTTCCTTCAATGAACTGCTCTTTCATCGTTGTCAAAATCATTTGGTCTTACTTCTAGGCTCTCTGTTCTGTTCCATTAATCTATGTATCTATCCCTTCTCTAATACAATCCAGTCTGATTACTCCAGCTACACAGTAGGTCTTTAGATCAAGTAGAGGAATTTCTCCTAATTGATTCTTCTTTCTCAAAATTGTTTTAGCTATCTAGGTTCTTTGCCTTTCCACATATATTTTAAAATAATCTTATCTATTACCATAGTCTGCTTGGGCTGCTATAAGAGAATAAACACACTGGGGGTTTTATAAGTAACAAATTTTTTTAAAAATATATT